AATGGACAGACGGCTGGCAGCTGTGGCGAGCTGCTGTCCTCCCCAAGTGCACACTATGGAGTGGCCAAACTCACGCCTCAACTTCTAGTTTTCAGCTCCTGCTTGTTCCTGGCAGGAGGCCAGGCAGCAAAGCGTCTGAGGGGAGTTTTCCTTCCCTAGAGGAGCCAGCTGCTGTGGTAACTCCCTCACTGCTGGCAGGTACCAAGGCCCCACCTGCCACTCACCAGAGGCCAGGGTCACACTGTCCCAATGTGCAGGAGAACTTGGCGCCTGCTGCACTGCGGTTGCAGGTGGGGGCAGGGCTCCCAGGAATCTCCACACCATTCCCGGGGTTCCCGGCAGCTCCGGGAAAGCAGAGCTGGGGCTGCTCAACTATCTCCCCTGGATCCAGCAAGGCTGCCACCTCCCAGAGTGGAGCCCCACTCCCCAGCTCCCATCTCTATCCCCTAACCCTCTTTGCATGGCCCAGCACAGGCAGCATCGAGGTGGAGCTGAACAGAGACAGAGGGAGAGGGACCCAAGGTGGTGTCACTTAGGACTTGGATTCAAGTCCCTACACTTCTGCAGCCTGGCCTGGGTCCCATAACGCCCCAGGGTGACCAAGGGCTTCCCGGTCTGCACAGAGGACAGCGGGGCTTGACAGCATCAAACGCTGATGATTACAAGACGTCCATGTGGGGAATGCAGACAGACCATGCCTCTAGCCCTTGGCACCTGGGACCATCCATCCCTGGGACTTGCTGTCCTGGAAATGCAGCGTGGGCCTCCAGGGAGGGAGGCTGTGCCGCCTAGGTGCCACGCCCAGCCTGCAGCTCTTCCCCACCCTGGCTGCGGGTCTGCTTCCCTGAATCCAAATCTGCTATTACTGTGCTGGCAGTGCAGCCTCTCTGGGGACACTGGCCTGGCCCTGTTCTCCCCAGGCCTCAGGGTGTCTAACTGGGAGGCAGCAAGGGGAGTGAAGACCCACTGAGGTGCTCTGTTGACCAGGCTCAGCAGGGGTGCAGGTGATGTGGGTTGGAATCCTTCACACGTGGCTCCTCCAGTCCTCCACACTTCCTTCCCAGCTGAGAACTGCCTGCTCCCGATGTCTACACCTGGAGTCTGGGACGCCCAACTGGGCAGCAGAGAAACTGAGGCACAGAGACAGACTGTGTCCTTACAGGCCACACAGCCTGCCAGGTCCCAATGTCCCAGCCAGAGCCTCTAGTCAGCCTGGGCCTGAGTGCTTGTTTACAAGCAGACTGTTCCCACGGCTGCCTCTCGCGGTGGGGGCCTGTGGACACCTCTTCCCGCCCCTACCCGACTCCCAAGCCTCAGTGACTTTGCTCAACCAGGAACTGAAATGCATTCCTGGGTTCAGGCCAGCCCACCCACCCACCCGCTGCAGTCCTGGAAGCCCAGAGGCCAGGGCAGCAGGAACAGTGGAGACAGCAGCGGAGGGGACATCCCCCCTCCTCTCCCCACCATCCTGGTCAGACAGAGGCCAGGGTGCAGGGACCGCCTGAGCAAAGGCCCAGGGAAAAGAATGGGTGTCATTCCGGTCCTAGCCCAAGGCACAGCCAGGGAGGTCCCTGAATGTCCTTCCTCAGGAAATGATGGGAGAAGGGGCGAAGAGAATGGAGAGGATTTAAGTCCCCCACCTCCCAAGGTAGTCCTGGGCTGAGCCCCACGGGACTTGTAGAACCAGGGTGTACCCCACCAGCGTGTCAGGTCCAGGAAGCCTTGTGGCCAGCTCCCACTTCTCTTGCTGCTGTGCAACCCAGAGCAAGGCCTGCCCCTCCAGCCTCAGTCTTCTCCCCTGCAAACGGGGCCACGGCCTTTCCTTTCAGGCCAAAATAAGGATCGAGGCCGGGTGCAGTGGCTCATCCCTGTAATCCTAGCACTTTGGAGGCCGAGCTGGGAGGACTGCTTGAAGTCTGGAGTTTAAGTCCAGCCTGGTCAACGTAGTGAGACCCCATCTCTATTTGTTTAAGTAAAATTAAAAAATAAATAAAATAAGGATTGAGGAGTGACGTGTACACCAGTTGAGCCCACCTCCATCTCACCCCTGGGGAGCCCCAGGGACACAGCCCTCCAGGGCTTAGACCCGGTGGTACTCAACTCCGCAGGCACAAAACCCAGTATGTCTGTGGGCCCTTTGGTATTACCAGGTTTTCGGGGCTTCTGAAGGAGAGCCCCGACCTGGCTTCACCTGGCTCCTGGCCCCAGTGCCCCTGGTGATACCCAGGTGCTGGGCTGTGATCACAGCCTCCCACCAGCCCACCTCCACCAGCCTTTCTCAGAACCCTGCCCCAGGTGTTGGAACTGTGCCCGGAGGAGGGAGCAGACCCCGAGGGAGGCCGGGAGGGGCTGCCGATGGTGAAGGCTGCTGTGTCTAGCTGTTCCCTTCCAGATCTACTCCCTCTGGGCTGCGTCCCTGGCTGGTCCAAGCCCTGATCCCTGGGATATGAAGACCTTCTCCAATTTGCTATTCCCTGAGAACCAGGCCTCCCTCTGGAGAGGATCACAAGCGTGGGTTTCACTCTGGGCTTGCTCTTGGAAACCCCCCAGGAGCTTGGCTCTGACCAAGATGTTTTGCTCCAGCCTCTTGCTCAATCCCCACTCCTCAGACCTCAGCTTCATGAACTCCTGTGTCTTTGGCAGGGTGAGCCGGACACTGGCCCGTCTGAGAAGGCGCCTGGTTCCCGGCATCAGCTGGCCACTCTCTGCCTAAGAAAGGGCCAGGGTCACTGCATCTCCTGGTGGTTGGTCCTAGGTATTGTCACTGCCCAGCCCCATTAAGGGAGGGCCTGGCCCCAAGTCCCAGGATGGGTTCAGGGCTGGGAGGGGCAGGGCTTGGGGTGGACCTGCCCTTGGCCCCCAGCCATGGGCCTGGCTCTGCCCATGCTGAAGATACTGAGGCCAGTTCCAGCGACCGCAGTGTCAAGATCTCCGAATCCCACTTCTCCATTCCTCCGCAGCCAGATGGCTCCATTTCACACACAATACACTGAGGCCCAGAGAGTAGGGAGCCAGGCCAGGGAGGCCACCTTGAGCCTGGCACAGCAGCCTCATTTATCATGCTGCTCTGCCACTCACAGGGGAAGCACGACCCCAAAGTCCCCTTCCCGGTCCTGGTGAGTATCTTGTGCCTGGATTGCTGGCCAGCCTTCTCTGCCCTGAGCACTCAGTAGCCAGCAGGCTCCCCGCCTTTCCTGGAGTCCGAGGCAGCTGCCCAGCCACCAGCCGTGCGACGGCTTGCACCACAGCGATGAAGGTGGACATGATCTGGGTGTGATGGTGCTGGGTCTCCAGGGCTGCAGTCACTGCCTGGGGGTGGGAGGAGACAGGAAGCCTGAGCAGGGCTCCAGATGCCACCTGAACCATGCCTGTGTGGTCACAGGCCTCAGCCCAGGTGGTGCCATTTCAGGCCAGGTCATCAGGAACAGCAGGTTGGGGCCTGCTGGGTCTCATTGGAGCAGGTGGCTTGGCCCTCACGGCACAGGGGCTCCAAATGGCCCAGACAGCAGAGAGAGGACACCAACCACTGTACACCCTGTGGCGACCCAGGCCTCCAGCCCAGGAAGACCTGGGGCTCCACACAGTGACTCAGTTTCCCGAGCCCCCGGCCCACCCGGTCAATGTTTCTCTCCACTGTCGTGATGTTGGGTAGAGCTGGTCGTGCAGCTGGGGCTCCTCCACAGCTCACTTCACGTCACAGCACGGGCCCACTGAGCAGTGCACTGGGCATGTACAGCACCACGTCTCCCAGGCTGATGTTCAGCGGGTGCTCAATCAGCTCAGCGCAGTAGTTGTTCACGTCCTCAGCTGTCACAATGCCCCCTGCAATGGGACAGCAGCTCGAATGGGCGCTGGGATGGGGCTGCACCAGTGGTGTTGGGGGCAGGCATGGCTGTACCACGGTGGTGGGGAAAAGCCTGTACCTACCGGGGAGGACAGAGTACACTACTGGAGGGTGGGACTGTGCCCTGGGAGGAGGCCACAGGCAACCTCACTCCCTCCTGAGCTCCTGTCTCCCTGACACTGCCCACCACCCCACAGCTTCCTGGCTTCCTTCTCTCCTCTGTGGCCAGAGAGTGCTCTCCTTTTTCTGTTTTAGAGATAGGATCTTGCTCTGTCACCCAGGCTGGAGTGCAGTGGCTTAATCACAGCCTTGAACTCCTGGGCTCAAGTGATCCTCCAGCAGATCCTCCCCAGTAGCTGAGGCTAAAGGTGGCACCACCACGCCCAGCAAATTTTAATTATTTTGTAGGGTCTTGCTGTATTACTTTTCAGTAAACTTTGAATTTTTTATGTTTTCTGGTTCCCCACCCCCACCCCCACTATATTTATGTAGTCTCAATATATTTTTTTGTAGTCTCACTATGTTGCCCAGGCTTGTCTTGGACTCCTGGCCTCAACTTCTACCTCAGCCTCCCAAAGTGCTGGGATTAAAGGCGTAAGACACCAAGCTTGGCCTCAGAGGGCTTATTCTTTTCCTTTTTTTTTTTTTTTGAGATGGACTCTTCCTCTGTCACCCAGTCTGGAGTGCAGTCAGTGGTACGATCTCGGCTCACTCAAGCCTCCTGGGTTCAAGTGATTCTTCTGCCTCAGCCTCCTGAGTAGCTGGGATTACAGGCACAAGCCACCATGCTCAGCTAATTTTATGTTTTTAGTAGAGATGGGGTTTCACCATGTTGCCCATGCCAGTCTTGAACTCCTGACCTCAGGTGATCCACCTGTCTTGGCCTCCCAAAGTGCTGGAATTACAACAGATGTGAGTCATGGTGCTCGGCTCAGAGGGCATTTTCTTTTCTTTTCTTTCTTTTTCTTTTCTGAGTCAGAGTCTCACTCTGTCGCCCAGGCTGGAGTGCAACGGCATGATTTTGACTCACTATAACCTCCGCCTCTCGGGTTCAAGCGATTATCCTGCCTCAGCCTCCTGAGTAGCTGGGATTATGGGCACGTGCCACCACACCTGGCTAAATTTTTTTTTTGTATTTTTAGTAGAGGCGTGGTTTCACCATGTTGGTCAGGCTGGTCTTGAACTTCTGACCTCGTGATCTGCCCACCTCGGCCTCCCAAAGTAATCAGAAGGCCTTTTCTAAGTGGAGAATTCCTGCCGGTGTCCCAGCCATTTGGCCTCTTCTCCTCACGATGAATGGATAGAGGGAGGGAGGGAGGCTCTTAATTCTCCCGGAGTCAGCTCCAGACAGACAGGGTATTGGCATGCCAATTTCCAGCCTCAGTGGTAAAGGTCAACATGCTAATCACCCTCCTCCATGAAACAGGGACAAAAATTACCTGAAGAAAGCCACAGCCAAGCTCCAGGCCCCTGCCCCACAAAGCCCCTTCCCCACGCCTCTCTCAAGGTGACCCTCATCCCTTGTAACCCTCCTGGTGAATCAAAGCCCCCTCTCCCTGGGCGTTAGCCCAGCTGCTCCTCTGCCAGGAATCCCTTCCTCTCCCTGCCTAACACAGTTATCTGCAGCCCAGCCACCACCTCCTCCAAGTCCTCCTGCATCTTCAGGCCGTATTCTAGTGCTTCCCTAGCCCTGGCTCTTGCCTACACCTGCATTTACCCTACCAGGGACTTGCTCTCCTGGACTGCAAGGTCTCTCTTGGTTTTGACATACCCAGGAGCTGTGAACCCACATGGCCGGCCACTGACCCTCCTCCACCAGGAACTTCCTGCAGGCTCAGGCAGGACAGGAAGACCCCAGGGCTCTGGGCCACAGCTCAGGGTTTCCACTGCAGGGTTCCTCACCCAGGCCCCTGAGGTTACCCACTCACCAGCTGCCTGGATGTCCTTCACAATCTGGGCCGTGAGGCTGCCGTTGTAGAAGGCCTGGGCACCCTCGATGGCCAGCGTCTCGTAGGTGTCAGCCAGCCGCGGCAGGGTCAGTCTCTCCCCCTCCCGAAGCACCTTTCCATCCCGGCAGAACACCTCACTGGGGCAGAGGGGGCTCACGTGAGGAAGCAGGTGGGATGGACTCAGCTAGACCACCCCCCACACCCGCCCACACAGGAGAACGGAGCAAAGCAGGGGCAGCACCTGTCACAGGTGGGTGGCCCTGTCACTCAGCACTCATCCTCCCAATGTCCCTTCCGGGAGCCTCCTAGTGTCCCTTGCCACTCAGGACACACGGCCAGCCACAGTGGCCACTGGGACCCCACCTCAGAATGTGTCCCCACACGTGGTGGGAAGGGTCTGCATCTCCTCAGCCCATTATCAGTGCGGGGTCCTGAAGGCAGAGGGCCGCTCCACTGCTGCTAGGGGCCTGCAGGGTCCTTGGGCTGTGCCTGCACTGCCTGTGTCAGGGGGCCGCACCCACAGACATACCACAAGACAGGCTGCTGCTCGATGACGGTCCGCTTGTTTTCCAGGGCTGCCCCCAAGCCCTTGCCCACGGGGAAGCCCTGGCGGGCCAGCTGGATGCTGGGCTGGAAGAGGCGAGCCCAGGGCAGCCGCCCATGCCACTAGTGAACCAGTTCATAGCCTCAGATCTCCCCGGGCACCGCCACTGACAGCCCCCTGGGGGGAGAGAGCCACAGTTAGTGGCCCTGAGTGGGGGACACGGGAATCTGTCACAGGCAGCATCCCAGGCACATTCCCTGACTCGTTTTACAGATGGGGCAGAGGCTTAGAAGGAAAGTTTTGTTTTTTTTCTGTTTTGAGATGGGGTCTTGCCATCTTGCCCAGCCTGATCTTGAACTCCTGGACTCAAGTAATCCTCCCACCTCAGCCTCTGGAGGAGCTGAGATTATAGGCATGAACCACCACACCCGGCAGAATGGGATTTTTATTTTTATTTATTTTTTTAAATTTTAATTGTTTTTTTAGGAGGGGACTTTTAAGGTCATATCTGGGCTCAGCAGGCAGGAGTGTACATGGACCAGGGATGTCTGAGGAGGGCACAGGAGGGGAAGCAGTAGCATGCAACTGGGTTTCGCTGTCCCACGATGAGGTGTCTGGGCAGGTGCCTGCGTGTCTAAAATCCTGTGCCAGGCCAGACCCCTCCCATCTCACTGACCACAAGCCCTTATCCTGTAACACTCGTGGGCTCCACCAGAATGTGCCAAAGCAAGAGCAGGTCCTTCCCTGACCCAGGTCAAGCACAGACCACCCTCAAGACCCAGTCAGCCCTAAGAAAGGGCTCTCTTCCTCTTTTCAACTGCCCCAGAGGCAAGACCTGAGCCTTAACCTCCGTCCTATTCCCTCTCCCAACCTCAGTTTCTCTGTCCAACTGTAACAGTGTTTTCTTTTGAGACTAGGTCTCACTCTGTTGCCCCAGCTGGAGTGCAGCGGTGCAATCACGGCCCACTGCAGCCTTGGCTTTCCAGGCTCAAGTGATCCTCCCACCTCAGCCTCAGAAGTACCTGAGACTACAGACATACCCCACCACATGCAGCTAATTTATTTTTCTTTTGAGATGGAGTTTCACTCCTGTTGCCCAGGCTGGAGTGCAGTGGTGCGATCTCGGCTCACACCAACCTCCACCTCCCAGGTTCAAGCGATTCTCCTGCCACAGTCTCCCAAGTAGCTGGAATTACAGGCACGCACCACCATGCCCCGCTAATTTTTGTATTTTTAGGAGAAACAGGGTTTCACCATGTTGGAAAGGCTGGTCTCAAACTCCTGACCTCGTGATCTGCCTTGCCTCCACCTCCCAAAGTGCTGGGATTACGGGCGTGAGCCACTGTGCCCAGCCTAGATTTTTAATTTTTTTGTAGGGACAGAGATCTCACTATATTGCCAAGGCTGCTCTCAAACTCCTGGCCTCAAGCAATCCTCCTACCTCAGTCTCCCAAAGTGCTAGGACTACAGGTGCACCCAGCCTATAAGGGCTTTTGCCTTCCAGTTCTGACTTTCAAGGAGGTCATTGGAAACAGACCCTGTTTCCCCTAAAGACAGCAGGGAAACCTGCTTCCCCTCTGAGCCCCACTGTCCATATGTACACTAGACACTGACCCTTTGCCCAGAAAGATACAACTATGGCCTCTGCCTCCAAGTATTTCCTGCTCTCGCCAGAGATGACGGGGGCCATTTGGCCACTCCCAGGCTTGGTGACTGCAGCTCTAGAACTGCCTCTCCCACCCTGAAGCCTGGCACAAGTTTTCAAGAGCCAGTGGTTTCCATTCCTAGAGGCTGCACATACATCCCAGAAGGTCTGACACCCAGCACACAACTCCTTCTACCTTACAGTTAGACAGAAGAAGTTCTAATCTTCGATAGCAGACCAGGACGACACTTAGCAATGGTATGTTGTATATTTCAAAGTAACTGGAAGAGAGGACTGTGATGCTAACACCCAGAAATAAATACTCAAGGTTACGGAGACCCCAAATACCCTGCCTTCATCATTATACACTCTATGCATGTAACAAGCACTCACATGTACCCATAAATATAGAAAATATCATGTATCAATATCAGAAAAAAAATCTCACCTCAGGCCAATCAGGCTGTCATGCCACCACACTTGCCAAGCTCTCCGGCAACCCCCACACTGCCAGATCTAGTGCCCTCTCTCAGCTTTACTGGGCTCATCACTTTCCTCAAGAGCCACCCCTGCATCCTAGCACCTGGCTCCACCCGAGTGTCCCCCCCTGCCATCCTAGCTCCTGCTCTGCCCTCTGTCTTTGCTCTCTCTCCTGGTGGTCTGCCTGACATCTGAGCTTCAGCCTCCATTTAAGCACTGACAACTCCCAAATTGGCCTGCTGGCCTGGACTGCTCCTCAAATCGCCAGACCTGAGTATCTACCTGCCTGCTCGAAGAAAGCATCTCAAACTTAAAACGTGCCCAAAACCGAGCTCCTGAGTGTCCACTCAGACCTGCTCCCTGAGAGCCCTGCCTGTCTCTGTTAGGGTCACCCCATCCTTCCACGTACAGACAAAGGATCCGGGGTCCTCGGGGACTCCCCATACCAGCATCACACCCAACCCATCCTCAAATCTACAGGCTCCACTTCGAAGTGTATCTGTCCAGCGTCAGCCACTTCCCACCACCCTCTCCATGAATTACTGCAGTGACCTCCGGACAGGTCCCCACATGCTCCCTGTCCCTTACACAGCAACCCAAGGGGTCCACAGGTCAGATACATCCCACTCCACTCACACACTCCACAGGCCCCCACTTCCTTGAGACAAGAGGCAGAGGCTTCACCATGACCTAAGAGATCCCACACAACCTGGGCCGTTCCCCTCGGGTCACTTGCTGCAGCCTCCCCGGCTCCCCACAGGGCTCTGTCCCTGCCCATCACACCTGGATCACTTGGTCTTCCCCCAGACGCCACAAAGCTCCCCTGACCCCACCCCTGCCTCTGGGTCTTTGCTCAGATATCCCCTTCCCTGACTAGGTCACCCTCCATAGAGTACTAGATATTGAGCCCCCCCAGGTCTGCTTTTCCAAAGCCTGTAGCACACCTGCACCTGCCTAGTTTCT